TGTGTTTGTGGAGGAGACATATGTGGATCTCTCACTTACTACATTTTAATGTAGATGGATTTTCTTCCAACGTTCTTATTATTGTTCAAATACTGCTCTCGATCTCATATATCACTTTCTAGTCAACTTTAATTTGTTCATATGTGAGACATGTTACATTCATGTAACAGTCATTTTCCGCATTGTTTCATGTATCCGCCCCTTAGCATTCTACACAACTTTTAAATCAATATATAGGCTGCAATGATATGCTTTCAGTGACAATATCACCGACTTCATCTGACACACTCGCGAATGCACCCATGTCGCACACACGAAAATGCCGCACATGATTTATATATAAGCATAAAATGTCGTCTGCATGGCAAGCCAGAATTCAATAGAAACGCAACCGTCTTCAAATCGTTTTCGCCTTAGACCATTACGCCCTATGATCATCAATGCGCAGTACCACCATATCTACACGTTTGATCGCCTCAACATGATTAGAAAAAATTGTCAGCTGACTGCCTGACAACAAAACCAATGCACAGGGAAATTCTCGAAAATTGCCCACTACATAACCGACTTTCTCACAAAACATTCATGTCGACGAGTTCACAGCATGCATCTACCACCTGACCATCTATTCTGTAATACTCTACACCTCCCTACTCGTTCTAGAGCTACATCAATTTTCATCAATGATCACTTATCAATTCAGATCACATTACTCCATACATACGTATAATTAGGCGGAACACCCTCGTTAAGCACCCTACAAACAGAAATTTTCTTCCCGCACTAATATTCTTCAACTACGATTCACCCGCTACAACATTGAACTTTTTTCCACCTTTCCTCATATCGGTACCCGTTCCGGGAAACTACGGATTTCGCCCGCTCGCGAACTTCCACGATTGAAGACTAAAAAAAGAAAAACGTCTTCGACATTTTTTCCAGCACTCCGTAAACGAGGGGGCCTTCGACCCCCTTCCTGGCACGAGATGACCCCTCATCCCCAAAACTTTTTCGTGCTCGGATTCGGCATCTCGGCGGCCTTTGGTCCCCAGGCTGTGAACCCTCGCGCTGTCCCCACCCACAAAAAAACCATCCTTCTACGCCCTCCACTCAGATATTTTTTCACATTTCATTTTATTCAAGATTAAATTGATCAACACAAGCACTAAAAAAATGGCATTACTCATCAGACTTCTGTTCACCTCTTTTGCTCACTTCGAAGCAAACTTTGCAACTCGGTCAGCTGATCGAAGATCACATGGCAAAGGAACATTCATCAAGATACTTCTGCTCGCCTCTTTTGCTCACTTCGAAGCAAACTTTGCAACTCGGTCAGCTGATCGAAAATCACATTGGAGTTGTTTTTTATGGATATGTATGGATATACCGTCATCAGCTATTAGGGCGTGGTTCATGAGTGCTGTTTGTTTTCGAAAAGATTGTTGTTTGGCAAAATGGAGCTTTTGTGCGCAGTTTGGTCCGTAGAGGCTACATGAACTTTACCGAATTTGTTTTGTTTGTTCCTATAGTTGGTGATGAGGATTGCGATTATTGTGTGCTGTGAAAAGTTTTGAAAGGTTGCCGGAAAGTGTTCGTAGATACGGTTTAATGGTAGTTTTCTGTAGGTTTCGTTGCAGGCATACATTGAATGGCTTCTGTTTTCGAGAACAAGTGCTGTGTGCTGGTTTTTTGTGGAAAAGTGGAGAGTAAGAATATCAATCAGTTGGTGTGGTATTCTGAGAGTTGAACGCGACAGAAGGTGGGGGTAGTATGTGCTTGTGTGCGGTTGTTTGAAAGATGAATGTTTTGCTATTGGTTTAAGGTAAAAATATATGAGCACTGGTGTTAGCGGATTTACCTCCTTATGGTTACTTTTCTTTATCTTTCTTTTTCTCTTTCTTCTTAATTAATCTATCTGATGTTATATAACCTCAATCACTCTTTATTCTTTTGTCCTTAATGATGTATTACTATTAGCTCTACCTTGTTATATAGAAATCCCAACCCGAATCCTAAGATCGAACCCTAAGACCGAACCCGAACCCCGAATCGTTCGGTCCGAACTCCGCGCTCGAGTTCTGGTTCGTTGCATCCCTACTGCAATCACAAGATTTTCTTTTGTTTTCTTTCTTTTTCTTTTCTTTTGATCTAGTTTATAATTATGAAATAAGCAATTTATATTTTTTATGTTATTTCCCATTACTCTGCTTTTTTCTATTTAAATGAATGAATTACAGTACTCGAGAAATCTGAATAAGTGCTATTTAAAGATGTGGGTGAAGTTATCACCAGATTCGAATATTTCCAGCCCGGATTCACCCAGCAACTTGTTCCAAGTCTCCTATTCTTGTTTCAAGTAGAATTTGACGAGCCCTATCCAACGATGTACTCAGATTTTCCACAGCCCAACGTATAATTTTTGGGACCATATATGGCGCTGTACAAACCCTCCAAATTATAGATCTGATTATGGAATATCTGAGTATACCATTGGGTAGAGCTCGTCGAGTTCTACTTGGAAGAAGAATAGGCGACGTGGAACAAGTTGTTCGGCGAATTGGAGCTGGAAATACTCGAATCTGATGATAACTTCACCTACGTTATTTATAGATGCTTTACTACTTTAATTTCATTTACTCACAAAATTCAACCGTTAACTGAATAAGATATTGAACATTTGAATTTGTTTTGGATGGATTGGTAAAGACGCAATAAATAAATACATGAATTTCTAAAAGCAAAATAATAATAATTTATTTTATTCGATGATAAGAATCACTTTTTATATATATCATGCTATGAATACTTAATAATCCGAACCAATAATAGACATACAAAGAAGACGCCGACAGTAAATCCAGCATTCGAACAATAACTAGATTGGTGATTTCATTATTCCATTCGGTTTTTTCATCGATTATTATATTTGATATACATTGTTTCTAATTGTGAACATTTTTTGCGCCATTGTCTACCATCTAACTAGCACAGAAAATAAATAACTTGAAGTATTTAAAAGTTTTTATGTAACTTTCAAAGCCATGTTATTGAGATGATTTTCTCTCAAATTTAATAATTAAAAATAAAGAAGTTATAAAAATATAATATAGAATAGACTAACGTAAGGCATTCTTTAAAGGACGAGAAATTTTTATCGATTATTGGTCTATTAATGATAATTCACTAATAAATACTTCGTAAAAAAAAGGCTTGTTGATACAGCTACTTAGGGGCGGAAATGTGAAATTCACATATGTTCTTTAGCTTCACTACAGTGACAGAAAATACGAAAGTAACGAATCTTGTCTTATAGACTTTAGTTGTTTTCAAGATAACCGATCATCAGAGTAAGGGTATCTTTAATTTCTGCATTTTAAACGGAATTTTTCGTTTTCTTTTGTTTGTGTTGTTGCTATTCACTAGTTATTTTTCATTTTTTTCTAATTTGTTTTTCTTAAATTAACATTGTTGGTATTATTCTAATCATCAAATTAAAATGCTAATAAGTCTGTTTTATATATTCATGATACCTGGTACAGTTCTGAACACCTTATTATATATCTCGATCACCTCACAAACGTTTGTATTGATTAGTTTCCAAAGTGCAAAAGCGATCGATTCATACTTTTGTGCTGATCATATGACTACTGTGACAAATCAATATATCACTATCAATTATTGTTGACATCTTAAATTTATATTTTTATCTATGAAAAAGTCAGAAACTGCGTTCTTTAGAATATTGTAATACGTTTTCCAAATATTTAAATTTGAAGGGAGGTTTCTGAATAATCTAAAACCTTCTAAACCTTGTTACTCACGTTGTTCAGCGTCTGTAATCCTGGTTGCTAAAGTCTGTAATGGAAGATGAAAAACTTCGACTCGAAACTTCTACTCTCTATTTTTTTCCGAAAATATATGAGTTCGATAAAATTGAATAAAATTTCATTTATACATTTTGGTTATGGTTCAAGATGAAGATGAAGATGACCTATAAAATATTCGAAAAGGTTGAGATATGCGTTGTTTAATTCTAACATTCTTTTCCTACATAAATAAACATGATCTTTTTCTTCATAATATTATTTAATTAAAGTGAGTGTGATGTATGATATAAATAGAAAAATGTTTTTTTCTTAAATAAATATAGTCGATTATTTGCAGATATTCGTTTGCCTTTTTTTTTAAAACTTGATCAATAATTGAATAAAAATGTTAGCAAGAATGATATTACGTCTTGAAAGTCTACAACTATTTTCGTTCATTTATGACAAAAACAAAAACATAGGAGTTCGAAAATGGAAGAATTTCCACACGTTTATTTATTTTAAATTTTAATTACTTCTATTCGTATCATTTTTCTTTATGAAGCTTCAATAAAAATTGATAGAATTATTGCAGTAAAATATCCTTCATTTAAACATTGTAATCGCTTTCAGTTGATTCTTTTCAAAGACTCCGATGTCCATGTGATAACGTAGCTAAACAAGTACTGAGCTTATTTCGTTACTCTCAAACACTTTTATATTAACGGCTTGAGTTGTAAAAGAAAGACTGAATCATATGATTTAACCTATAGAAATATAGATAAAAAGTTTGCAAAATGAGACATCCCCGAGCTCTGTGCGTCAATTATTCTCATTTTTATTTTCATTAAAAAAAATGTCTCAGACAAGCCTAACCGACTCCGAGTCTCGAGTCTAGGCTCGTCAAGGCATAGCTTTTAAAGATCTCATCAAAATCAAAAGAATTGTTGCACAGAGCTCTACTACGTCTCATTTGATAGAATAGGGTGTGGAATGGGCATATGGTGCGGGTGAAGTTTTTTCTTCACCCACACCCACATCTAGATCTAGTGTGCGTGATGCATCATCGCTTTCGTATGGAACACTCTAAAACTGAATATAAAATAGACACTACGGATGTTTTGAACATACACACACGGGTTTATGTTGAACTTTAATGCCTGAGAAGTGCTATTTAATAATATTTATTCTTATTCAATCAGGAATGGACATCAACAATTTTTCCACAACATCATTATCTGATTCCAGCCACATAGCAAAATAACATGCATAAAATCGAATACATTGTTTTTCACTTTTTGTCCACGATTTTTCACTACTCGACAACTTGTAACCCTGTGCAATTGCATCAACATATTTCCATTCCGCCTTAGCAAGCAGCAATAATCGCCCGATATCGTATAGACCATCACCGCAAAGACAATCAGCATAATCGATCACCCCATTCAAATGTCCATTTAGAACACGCATATTTTCTGAAGAAATATCACCATGAAGAAGAACTGGATTGCTAAATTCGGTTAAATAAGGTATCATAGATAAATAAATTTCTTCCAATGGATACTGATTTTCATTTAGATTGTTAAAAGCTGTTTCAAACATTTTCAGCCATGATGAATAAACCCCCACACCCGGTTGTTCACTCATATAGCCAAACTGTTTCATTTTAATTGAATGTAACATATGTAGAAATCCACCCAGTTCTTTGCATATTTCAGGTGAAAATTCGTTGAAATCTTGACCTAAATTTAACTATATATTAATTAGAAATTGACTTACGATATGCAGAAAATACCTGATATATAACTCTCGATTAAATAATTTTTTTCGGGATTCAATGCTAATAGTTTTGGTGACAGTCGTTCATTTTTCAGTAATTCAAGTGCCCATGCTTGATGTCCAAGTCGATGCATAGGAAAATAGGGCATTGAATCGTCATTAGCATTTAATTTAAATTCAGATGAAGTTTTTGATGAATCAATTTTTAATGGTTGACGAAAAATAATGATGGTATCCGAACAGAATTTAATTAAATAAATAATATTGTCACAACCTAATTTTGATGGTAATCGAACATTTTCTATTGTGTCATATGGAAAATGAGAAGCAATAATTTGGTATATTTTCTCTTTCTCACTCATTTTTGTCTGCTCTGATCAACATATCCAAGAAACACATTGACTATATAACATTTCATCATTCTTAGCAAATATGGAGTAATCTTATCTTTTATAGTTTTATAAAAGGAGTGCTACACAAAGCAAGGTTGACGAAATATTGACACGACGCAGATATAAAACTGCTTTAAGAACTGAAAAAGATAAGATTACTCAATAGTTGCAAAGAATGACGAAATTTTATACAATGGCTGTATATCGTGCATATGTTTATCAAAGAAGAAGACAAAAATGAGGGATAAAGAAGAAATGGAACACTTGAGAGTAAATATGAGCTATCACGCTGAAAGTCATGATTTTGCCTTGTGCCTATTCGACCCGAATATTCAAAATGTGAGGAAGCGGATACGCTTTTGTAAGAAGGAATCTTTTCGTACTGAACAATATATACAGTAAATAATAAACAGCGGATCCGTTCTCTTTGATGGCGATGAAAATACTGTATGAATAACGAGCTGCAATGACCGGTTTCGATTGGAGTTTCTTATTTCTTTGTTGATAGTTAAAGATATCTGTCTGTTTTCATTGGATTCGCTCAGACATTCTTTTGCTTTATTTCAAAAGTAATTTTTTAATATTGGTCTCTTCTTTAACTTTCAACAGATAAAGATCTTATTTTTCTTTTATATTGAGTGTCTATTCTATTTTTCAGACCAGAGCTGCCAACCTGGCCTGGTGGCCTGCAGACTAGATCAGGCGGGAAATACTTTGCTAAATTTGTTGAAGTTAAAGTTTCACTTTAAACTTTGATAATGAATTTTAAACTGAGATACTTTAATTATAAGACGACCACCTGTTGCAATTCCTCGATTTCCACCCCTTTATGCGAATCTTGTCGTAAATAGACTTGTGAATGTATATTAATCATACCAACTTGTCTCACCCATTCTAGTTTAACATTAACTGCGAAAGCTCAAAGTTACACATAACTCTAAAGGTTTAAGTCAACTAAAAAGGCTACATTTACTCTTGATGATAGAATATTCGTTTTAGCTGATTCTCTTTTATTTGTGGTTGTATGTCGGCTTATGATTGAGCTCGAGTGCATCTCAGTAGACAAAGAGAATGAATACACAACAGGAATGGAGCTGACTAGTAAATCAGTGCAACTCGATATCATTCAGTGGACGAAGATACGAAGCAAAAGTTTTGATCAACATCAATCGTGTCTTCTGTTTTGCGATTAGCATGATTTCTTGCTGATGGTAACCAATTTTATATTGGGTGTAGGTGAAAAGAAGACATACGCCTACACTCTGATCAGACCCACGCCCACATTATAAACAAAATATAAAGAAATGAAGAATACAAATAGTTTTATTTTTCTGTGAATGAAAAAGTAACAAAAAATGTTTTTGTATAAGGGTATAGATATACCTTTGTTTTGTACCCACGTCAAAGTCACCCAGTTGGATCTAAATGTCGGGAACCATCAATGTTCTTTAATTTCCAATAATTTTCGACTGTCGAATACCATGGGACATCGTCGATTGGATCCGGTCATGTTCAACATGCGAAATATATTTTTAACATTTTTTATGACGAGGCGAAGCCTTTTTCCATTAATCCAAGTAAAATATTCACGATCCTAAAGGCGAGCTGTGGATGTAGGTGCGCGGTTCTTGTCGTTATTCACACCCGTGCCCTCTTTAGTGCACCTTTTCCCGATTTCTTCACGGTTAACATAATCAATAGTTCGTTCTCTGTCGTTTCTACGACTTGATAAGAAAAATGTTTTCTTATGTTTTACTAAAGAGTACGTTTATCTCAGCAACGTCCTTTTCTCATTCAACAATACGGATGATACATTCTTACCCTCCTCTCGAACTATTAGTCGCTTAAACGAGAAGAAAAAAAATGATTTGAGAACATGTAAAAATCAAACCAATCGGCATCATATTGTCATGATTTGCAGGAGAACGACGAAAATTCAAACAGTGTGTTTTTTATCAAACTAAATAATACGACTTTTTTTGCTCTATTCAATCTTCACAAATTGACAGAAAACATGCTTTCTTATGAAAAATTCAGCTTCGTAATGAATGAAAAAAAATGACGATGCACTCTTAGACTTATTCCAAACATGACATGCAAATTCGCACCTAATACTGTCAGCACTCGAATAATTTCAAGTTCTATTTTTCGAGAACAGAAGAAGAAAGCTTTTGTTAGAGCATGCTAATAAGACTGATTCAGTTAAGAAAAAACAAGATGCGTTCGTAAAAGTATAAACCATATAGCCAATCATACACTGTAAATTAGAAGCAAAAAAAACTAATCTGGTCATGAATGATCATATGAAATGTTCATCCACATTCAATGTCTTACTCATAAATACAGAGATATGTTTGTCGAATTTGCTTTTCATGTGAAACCAGAAACTCACACTATAACTACACCCAATCCTTGTTTCAACTGCTTGCGGCAATACTGCACTAGTTGAACTACTAATTCTATATGCATAGGAGCCAGAATGTTGACCATTTTGTCATGTCTGACATGATGAATAACGCGACATGCATATGCAATACTCTCCCATAGTACCGTTTTCGAAATTGCCATTCCTGATCATTTCAACATTGAACAATGTACATAAATTGAAATTTCGTCTAGATATCCAAATGTATCTTTTTCAAAAGACAATGTAATGACCACTCCATTTGACCGAGCTATATAGTGCCACGAATAGGATCGATATTTATCATATGGGAGACATTTAAGACGAAAGATCTCAGTCTTTTGAGAAGTTTCTTTTGGACAGTATTCATCTAAAATAATCATTTCGAAAAATGCGAAGATGAATGAATTTTTAATTCTCGAATATTGTAAGAAGTATGTTTCCGGTACGTCATTAGTCAGAGCGAGAACATGTTTAATCGAAAGAACGATGAACATAGCAAACTGTTCTCTACATATTCAAAAAACACTCAAAGGTAAAAGAATGATTATTATGATAGAACTAAGTAAGAGATTCTTCTCAGCAATTTATTTTATTACTCATGTGATTGTAGACAACACGTCAACAATGTCTAATTCAAATAAGGTATAATGATTAGTTTCCTTCAAAACAACGTACTTGATGTTAATTGAATTGTGCAAGGTTCGATAATTTTTATAAAACGTAACTTAAACAATCAAAAATATATAAAACCAACAGTAATTAGAAGAATTAGACATAGTCTACACGGTCGAGCCCGAACTTGACGGGAACATTCACGGTTATCTGACGATGGACGAATGATTGTTGGTATCAATGTGATAGTCGTTCTTGGTTCCGTTCTAGGCAATGGTTCTTCTTCGACAGGATCCACGGTTGTTTGGGCAGTTTCTTCAGAAAAAATTTCATTCGGATGAAGTGGTTGTCTCGAGAGAGGGCTCGTTGGATGCTCATTAACCCATTGCATTCATGATTCATGTTCGTATATGTGTCCATGTATGGATAAGGCAGGCTCATGAATATGATTCAATGTGATTGGACAGATTTGTTCTTCAGATGATGATTTTTCCATACCGATAAACGCTTTATTCTATGATATTGTTTAATTTTGTTTCGATCGACGAGCTTTATACAAGTAGTGAAGCTATGAGTTTCTGCAACAAGTGAAAAAAAACGCTATAAATCGAACCAACGCTTCCAACGTTTTGCTTTCGTTCTGCTGAAAAATGAAATATTACTAACGTGAAAGAATCGAAGTCTCTATTCTCATCAAAGTGCATGACTCATTTTTGTTGCCTCTTTTCGTTCTCTGTTCTCTGTCCTGCACATGATGACTACGTTTGCTTCCTTTGTGCAAACGAAGATGCGGGTGTTACTCTTCTTGTCACCCACACCCACACATACACCGTGTTTAGTTTCCTCAAGTCCTTCCCCTGCCCCCTCAAAAATCGATCTTGGCCCAGGAACACTTTAAATTATATGAAATTTTCAGAAGATGTCGGGTCTGGTGTGGAGACGGTGTGATAAATTTTTCAGCCCTATATCATTATGGTTGACAGAGATATTCACCAAACAAAGCCTAAAAATCGCACATTTAGCAAACCAAGTTTATATGCCCAGATTTATGTTATATACGTATTTAATTTGTTTTTCTTGGAAAGAGCGTGTCAGGATGCAAGACACCACGGACTTATTTTTTTTTAATTTTCATTTTTTGAGCGGAGAGAAGGAATCAAGAGTTCAATGACGTAAAAAATTCCTAAAACATGGCGCTGTTTCTATTCAGATGTTTTTTATATGATAATAAAAAAAGCTTATTTAAAAAAAAAAACTATGTGGTGCCCTGCATACTGACGTGCTCTTTCCAAGAAAAAAATAGAGAAAGATTTTCGATGTTTTTCGAAGACAGCTTGTTTTTCAAATAGAAGATGATGAAAATCTTCAAAAGTTTTGAAAAAAATGAGATGCCGAGTAAAAATTATTGTCGTTCATGAGAGATCGGATCATGAGCTATTTTTTCCTGCATTGATCTTAATTTCGATCATTCTGGCGAAAAATGACTTTTTTTAGGGGTGGGGAATGCCTTAAAAGCAGTAAATCCACTTGTAACATTTGTTATTATTTCCATCAATGAGTTGTAGGATAATTCTTGGCAGACTTTCGTATTGTCTCGATATTTACCTGTTTTTATTTCAGGAAGCACGTTTGTCACATACAAGCAAAATTATTTCTGGTTGTCATGATTTTCATCGAATAGATTTCGTTATTTCAAATTCTTGTTTAGCGCGCATTAGATCGACATAGGATTATGAAGCTTTAAAACGTTGATGTAGTCAATTTTCAAGAAGTTTAGAATATCGATTCATTATCGCTTTCGGTAGTTCTCTATTTGATTTGGTCGAAAATAACTTTCATCTGATATAGAATATTGATGTTGTTGTTCATGGTCATTCGTCTTATATACATTGGTAGCATAATCAATACTTAACAAGATATGTTTTTCTCGGTTGAAAATATTGCGGCGTTT